ACTCTAGTTTTTAAGATTAAGAGTTCCGTCTGGCATTAATTTGTCAAGAAAGAATTGAATTTGCTGTTGAAAAATTTTTGAATTTTTTGATACCGAAAAAATTTGTTTAAAATCATTGGAAAGTTGAAGAATGCGAGCGAGGCAGTGCGCCGAACGGAGTGAGAAACAGGATTGATAAAAAACATGTTTAAAAAAACATTCAGTTTTTTTTTTATTTAAAACATGTTTTTAATGTTTTATATATATAATGTTTTAAACAGCTTTAGAAAAAAATCATGTTTAAAACAAAAAACCACTTTTTAAACATATATTTATTATATTTTATTATATTATAGAACGCACTTTGAAGTATTGGGTTGTCCGGAAAGTTCATGCCGATTTTGAAGGAAAATTGAAACGCAGAAGATTTAAATTTTTAATTTCATTTAAATTAAATTTAAATCTTTTGCACGAACTTTCCGGACAACCCAATATTTTGAAACGTTTCTGAGGTACATTTTAGCATTTAATTACACTTACTTCCTCATTTTTCTTAAATTTGAGCGTATTATCATAAATATATTTGAATGTGTTATTTGTTATTTAATATTTTATTTAATTGTATATATTTTAAGTTATGTAAATTTAAACAATAGCATGACATTTTGCTAATGTGATCCTTTATGCGTATTGATTACTCACGACTTCTTTTTTGAGATTTTTATTTCAAAATAATTATTCCTTGAACTAATTGTAATTTCTTGAACTAATTGTAATAAAATATTAATCTATAATTTACGTTACTATAGATTTGTATCGGCTATTTATATACAGGGTGTTTGGAAAATAATAATAAATCTTTCGCATAGGGGCAGAATGAACTAAACTGCCTGAGAAGAAAAGTACTCTATCATTTTGCAATTTTCGTAATTAACAAAATATTAATTGCTAAAAATTGACGAAAATTGGTCTTCAATAATTTTCACTCAAATACTATTAACTTTATAGAAAAACTGCAAAAGACAAAAATTGTTTATTTTCTTCTCATAGAACTCTACGAATTTTTTCAGAATTTTTATCAACTTTTTAGTACTGCACTTTCTCATTTTTACTAATATAAAAAAATACAGTATTAAAAATTCTGAAAAAATTCTAGAATTCTATGAAAAGAAAATTAACATTTATTGTCTCTTGCAGTTTTTCTGTAAAGTTGATAGTAAAAAATTCAAGTAAAAAATTATTAAAGCAATTTTCGGCAATTTTTATCAATTAATCTTGTTAATTATTGCGAAAATTACATTCGAAAATAACAGCTGATTAGTTTCAATACCTTCCCGTGGAACACTATATATAATTTTAACTATATTAATCATGTCATTTGAAATTAATTATATTATTATTAAATATTAATATATGATTATTGACAATTATCTACTATAATTAAAAATATTTTTTTCAGTCTTTTATATTAATAAAAAATTTAATATGTGTTGCACTTATCTATTACTAACCAAGATAAAATATAAGAGGTATACAAAAGACGGGATGTAAAAAGACAATGAAAAATATTCGTGTTATGTTAACTTTTTATTTGAATTTACACAAAATGTCATTATCTTACATAAAATATTAAAACGTACAAACATAAAATATATTAAACTATATGAAATGCCTGTTATATCATGGTTATATTAACTGTAAAAAATAAAACATTTCAACAGAAATTAAACATTTCTTACACTACTGTATAAACATTTGTACTTCATAAATTGAAACATAGCTGTCAGTTATTATCGCAGACAATGTTTGTTATATTGTAGAAATATATAGATTTTAAACGAAAACATAATTACCATCACAGTTTTTTATACACAGTTATTAATATTACTTCATATGTGTTAATAAAAAACAATTTTAATACTGAATTGTTTACTTTTGCAGTTCTCTTTGTAGTATGTGATTTTTTAATAACAATTCTTTTTCCAATAATTGTACTTCTAATTCTTCTCTCTTTAATTGCATATTCAAAATTTGTACTTCAACTTTATTTTTTACTTTTAAATCTTATGTTATAGGTGTATAAGCTTAAATCCGCTGTTTACTCATAAGCATTAGTGAGCGTACAAAGCTACCCTGGGCACACAACACACTTTTTTTTATGTGTTTGACATCTGTCAACATTAACCAATGCACATCATCAGCAATTTGATACAACAAAAATTTTTTATTTCGTAATCATGTCTAATTTTTTGCTAAAAAAAAAGCATATGCGGGAAGCTTTGCTTTTCTGTTTCAATTTGAAGAAATCGGCTGCCGAATCGCATCGAATACTTGTGGAGGCCTATGGCGACAATGCTTTATCGGAAACAACGTGCAGAGATTGGTTTCGCCGGTTCAATGACAATTTTGACCTGAGTGACAAGAAGCGTGAAAATCGGTCCAGGAAGGTTGAGGAGTGTCAATTGCAGGCTCTTGGACGAGGACGGTATCCAATCACAAAAAATGCTTGTCGAGCAATTGGGTGTTTCTCAAGCAGCCATTTCCATGCGGCTACATGCCATGGGGAAGATTCAAAAGATCGGAAAATGGATGCCGCATAAACTGAACGGCAGGTGATAGGCAGATGGAGCGCGCCAAAACACATGTCAAATTCTGCTTGCCAGACAAAAAAAGAAAATCGTTCCTGCATCGGATTGTGACAGGCAATGAAAAGGATCTATTTTCAGAATTCTAAACGCAAGAAATCTTGGGTTGATCCCGCTCAACCATCAACATCTTCCTCAAGACCAAATCTCTTCGGACGGAAGACGATGCTGTGCATTTAATGGGATCAGGAGGGTGTCATCTACTACGAGCTGTTAAAACTTGGTGAAACTGTTAATGCTCATCGCTACTACCAACAACTGATCAAATTGCACCGTGCTCTGCATGAAAAAAGGCCGCATTATCGGAAAAGACATGACAAGCTGATTTTCCTCCACGACGCACCATCGCACACGTCAACAATGGTCCAAAACTACTTGGAGACACTCAACTGGGAAGTGCTACCCCATCCCGCTTACTGATCAGACCTTCTGGCTATCACCTATTTTCGTCGCTATTATCGCGCTCGCTGAGCGGCACTTCGATTCTTACGAAGACGTCCGAAAATGGCTTGATGAGTGATTTGCCTCGAAAGATGAGTAATTTTTTTGGCGTGGTATACACAAATTGTCTGAAAGATGGGAAAAATGTATATTTAGCGAGGGCAAGTACTTTGAATAAATTTGTTTTTGCTTTCTAGGAAAAAAAAATTTATTTTTCTGACTTAAAAACAGCGGATTTAAGCTTATAATACCTGGTAAATTCTACTAACTCAGTCTTCGATTTTGTTCGCACATTAAATCTTGAACTTATATTGTTTTTCCTTTTCTTACGTAATGTGCAGCGATTATTAACATTTTCCGAATCGTATTGATTGTTTGAAAACTTTCGTTTCCTTTGAAGTGCCACACTCATACTCTTTTTCTTCTCTATTGAAACTATTTCCGATTTATGTCTTGTTCTTGTGATTTTTGTGCTACAAAGCTTTCTCTTTACAATAGTTTTCAATATTATTCACCAGCAACAATATATATATTTTACGTATATGTACCTTCTGTGATATCTGTATATGTGTAACACATATTTCATTCATATTTTGATTTTCATTATTACCATTTTCTTTATTATAATTTATTAATTCGTATTTCTATATATATTTGGTATATTTTCCAAATCATATTGATTATTTGAAAATTTACTTCTTGTTTAAAGTACATACTTATTTTCTTCTTTAATATCTCTATTGCAGTTATTTTCGATTTATGTCGGTTTATTTCTTGTCTTTGTAATTTATGTGTATCAGCTTTTTCTTTAGAATACTTTTCAATATTATTCACAGACTGCAACAATGTATATTATTATTATTTTATACATAAATACACATACAGAGAAAAAGGGGTGAGGGAGAGGGGGGGGGAGAGAGAGAGAGAGAGAGAGAGAGAGAGAGAGAGAGAGAGAGAGAGAGAGAGGAGAGAATTTGAACGTTTCTGCCAGACTTCATAATTTTAAAGGAAATTTAATTCTAAATAAAGTATCGAAAATATGAATCGAAAAAAGTTAATGCTTAAAAACTTTTTAAATCACGGTATTTTATACATTTTTACAAATATTAAATGTCCTCGGAAGATAACAGTACAAGGTTATATGGCATGTTTGATCCTAATAATATTTCTTAATCGCAGTTCAACTATTTCTAACCAAAACTCGCCGTTTAATTTAAACTTAGTTTATGTACTTAGTTTAAACATACAGAAAAAAGTTGGTAGAAACTAATATCTTACTAAACTTTGATTAACCAAATGTCATTAGGGACTAACTATTTAAACTACGTTGGTAGAAACGGGTCTTAGAGCCTTTTTCATCAATTCCGATTAACACTTATCAATAGTTAATTCAATCACGACTACTAATGTAAGAACTAAACACAGAAGAGGAAGAAAGAGGAGACTGATACATTAGACTGCTGTTGGTACTTCTGCGAGTTGATCGTCGGTTAATTTAACTAAAAGTTGGTGAAAAGGCTTTTAATATTGTTTAATTTTATTTTTATTTATTAATATATATTTATAACATTTATCTTTGACTGATTATTAGCATATTCTCATATTTATGTATATGATTTATTACGGTCGAACTTAATACGATCTTAATATGTTTTAATAATATACATCAAATACGAAGAAGAATACCAGCCTACGATCAAAGTTAGATGTTTCAATAATATAATATACATATATTCATTTTAAATGAATTTTATTTCAGGTAAAATTGAGCTGATAACTTTCAGACTTTTAACACAATCAATCTGAAACGCTATTAATTCCCCTTCTCCTAAAATTAGAAAAACTGTAAAGAACTTATTTAATAAATAAACTTATTAAATAAAAAAATAAGTATTTGTTGCATTCAAGATATCATCATTCTTGTTTTCTTCAAAGGTGGCACACTATTTGGCAAACATCTGGTGCGAGATTTAGAATTACAAAGACCATGCTCATGTCAACGACGACGCAAGCGTTGCTTCTGTTTCCGTCCAAATCATAACGAAAATTGGTTATTCTCACGATACTCTACTGGCTGGAAGTGTGGATTACATGCGGATTGGACCGAATTGACAAATTGTGTTGATACGGAACTCAATAAAATTGAAGGAGATGGAATTAAGCGCCGTTACTTTTACATAACTATCATAAGGGATCCCGTTGCAAGATATCTCTCTGAATTTAGGCACGTGCAGAGAGGTGCTACATGGAGAGGTGCTCGTCATTGGTGCGGAGGTACTCAAGCAAATATACCTCAATGTTATGATGGTCCCAATTGGAAAGGTGTTACCCTGGAAGAGGTAATATCTCCTGATTTGTTTTATTTTATTGCTATAAAGCTATTGGCTTTTATTGTTATAATATAAATTGTAGTAGTTTATGTATAAGTGTTTTATCTACATATTTAAGGTAAAAACTTTTGTTTTATCTTAAAAAATTTGGATTAAAAGCACTGTAAGAAATAAATACGATAATACGAGAAAAATATCAGGGATTTAAACCAAAGGCTGATCCATATTGGTACATTTCTATCGTGTCTCTGAACCACGCAGCTCAAACTCTAGGTTTGTTCGTGTCGCAGGCTCCAACATGCTCCTACTTATTCCAATGTGCTCTATGTTACACAGGTATCCTAAAAAGATCGGGACATCTGAATATCTCGAAAAATTTAATTTTTACAGAAAAATGTTTTAGATAAAAGTTGTAGAATTCAAATAGATCTATTTTACTGATTTTATCAGTTTTGATCTTGGGCGACGTCGCTAAGGTCAGATCAAAGTCACATCGATTTTTTTTAAATGGAACACCCTACTTTTGATTCCAGAATCTAATAACTGCTGTTGAAAACTTTCCAAAACGCTATAAAGAAATATTTTTGTTATTACTTTTTGAGTGATGTTTGAGTTACAGTACCACCTGATAGTAGCATTACGCAATGTGTCCGACTGAATAAAATTTCTTGAATGTTGTTCAGGATTATGTCCTGGATAATAAGATTTCGTCAAGATCAAGGAAATTATTCCTCTTATTTTCATTTTTGCACTAAAAATTTATTTTTATGTAAAAGTCAAAATAAGAGGAATACTAGATATTCGCGTTAGTCACAGAGCATACTCTGAGGAGTATTAAGAGCACGCTCCATTTGCTTCTCCTCCGAAGGTGGTACAATTGGGACATAATATTACGCATGCATAATAATTAAGAATGTGCTGTGTCGGAAAAAGTATTTCACGATTATGACAGACCATGGAGGATGGATAGCTACAAAAAATACAAGATTTTCTGTCAATAAATCATTATTAATTTAATTAATAATTTTAAAGCGAAAACCGACAAGAAAATCGCCCACTCTGAGATCCGTCTTAATCTAATGTACTAATGACCTCTTTTATACCGTTGATTGATTAATATCAAATTGATGCGAACTATTCCATATTATTTGCACCGATCTCAAAAAACGGATTAAATTAAATGACATGCACAAAACGATTTCTAAATTCGTTCGTATCACTGACCATTGGGGCATATGAATCTAACTGTTCCATTTTACCCAAGTATTCTCTGGATTTCATTGGAGTACGCGAACAAATCTTCTGATAGCTTCTCTATTGTGTCTATTTCCTCTAAATTTCTTACAATTCGGCCAACCTGAAATTACATCCATCCTGAATGTTCAATTCTAATCGCAATTTGGACAAAGTCTATAAGTTCAATCAGTCTGATAACACATACGACCTGGAATGTCCTCATGGCATACTATTAGACGGCTATCTTTGATCCGTGAGCGCTTGCTGCTGTTGATGTATTCTTTTAGATCATCAAATAGCAGCGAGCGCTCCATAACAGTTGAGTCTGCTGAATGCGACCCTACTATTAAGGCAGTCTATGGGTCCTCTTGAGCTAATTTATAAATTTTTCATTCTGATTGTAAGTCCTAGTTTCTAGAGATTCTGTACCCAGCAAAATGATAACAAATAGTACGCCAGCAAACTTGATCATGATATTATAGCAGATGTCAAGCTATTTCCTTATTAAGTTTAGTTTCTAACAGTATAATCTGCCATAGAACAATGGTAGACATGCAATAAAAATCGAGCATTCTTTGAACAAATACAATGACAGCAAATATACAGTCACAGATATCGGAAGTTTGCCATATATTAATAACAGAAAAACAGCAGAAATCAAGAATGATTTGATGTTACATTGTGATAGCGAAATCGCGGAAAGACTACAGTACAATTTATTGTATCAAATAGTGACAGTAAAAAGCACGGCCTGCCGTGCAAAAACGCGTCGAGAATACGCATCATTACGAGCGGAAACAACAATTATATAAATCGCTAATAACAATTTCTATTCCTTTTCGCTCCTGATCATGTTCCGATATTTTCCGATCCTGATCAGCTGCTCCAGTAGCGAGAAAAGATGGTAGAGAGATTACTCTGTCATTGTTGAGCGTTCTCGATAATAATCCACTGGCTTTTCTGCTTAAAAACTGCTGTATCGCCAGGAAAACTCAAGAGTAGAGTACTCTGTCCTGTCGAGTGTTCTTGGCCACCGATCAATTACAATTCTTGCGTCGCTGCACCGATAGGATTTCTCCGAAATCAGAGCGTACTCTGTCCCGCCTCGGTCACTTTCTCGGTCACCAGCCAGTTGCCATGTCTACCGCTTCTATCACGCCAGCAATAGGGGATATTATCTTTGTTGAATTTTCTCAACCTTTGATTGCAGCAAGTGCACTTTTAATCGGTCTCGACAATAGCGAGATAGAGATTTCTCTGCTTCTCCGACCGAATCAAGTATCGTCTCACTGAATTGCGGATTTCTTCTCATTGCAGTCGGGAAGACGTTTAGAAATTCATCGCCGCGATTGCGATTATGTTGGCGTATATACGCGTTTCGCGCGCGCCCCACTAATGCTGCATGTCGGTAAAAATTCTATGACGAGTCCGGTTAGACAGCAATGTACGCGCGCGCGCGCGCGCGCACACACACACACACACACACACACACACACACACACACACAAATAAAACACGCACGTACGCACACGACCCGACGCGACTTTAGCCAGATATCATATTTTTGTTTTCTTTTTGTATCTACTTATATTCTCTTATACTAAATATTTCATTACTTTCCTTTGTTAACGATACGCTTTATTATTGTATCTCGCCTTTTCGCACTTTTAAATCTTTTTTGCGAACTAACCAGAAAATGACGAATTATTTCCGCATGAAAATCATACATTACATGCCATGTAACTGCCAAATGCTCAGCCGTTGCCTTGTCATGATTGGCACTTAAGATTTCCGCGCAACGTTCCTTAGGTATGCATTGTTTCCATTGTTGTTTGGAGGCTATTTCCTTAAAGTCTAAATTGTGTAAGACGTGTCGATACAATTGGCCGTGATTTGATATGGAATATTAGCACGGGTCATCGCGGACTGTTATAAAGCGCTCAAAACATACATACTGGGAAGGGCTAGATGACTGTCGATGGCTCCAACATTTATCTGTCACTGTCTGAATGCTTCACCGTAATGCGCATGCGTCGATTATTATTATTATGTGTTATACTCTCGCCTTAGAACATACACATGCACGTTCAAAGCTCATATAAATCACTCGCAAGTGCACAGTAAACAAGCTTTCAGACAAGGACAGACAGATATTGGAAACATTGGTATCAAATACGGTACGATCTTTCTAGCATGTTATAAGAGCTTATATCAAGAAATTTTCTCAACAACGATGGTAATCGGTTTCGCGACAAGGTATCGGCCACTCTATTGAGAGTTCTCTTCCAATATTTAATTTCGAAGTCATACTGCTGGAGTTCGTCGAATGTCCATCTTCTAGATGTTTGGTGGGAAATTCCAGTTTCTATAGCCATCTCAGAAAGTGATCTGTTATTATTATAAAGGGATAAGTAATCCCGCATCTGGCGAATTCTCCATACGAGGCATTCAAGCTCTGTCGCGCTGTAATTTCGTTCTGCCTGATTTAAGGTGCAGTTTGCATATACTATGACGCACTCCCCTTTCGGGAAGTTTTGTATGAGTATAGTTCCGAGATCGGTATTGCTCACGTCAATTTATAATGGCGAATTCAATACATGCACTGACACATATTTTAGCATTGCTGCCCTGACATGGTCGAGTGTAGAACTACTTTAGTGCTATGCCAAATTGCATTGTCAGAAACGTCAGTGCATTTTTTGAACTCGTTTAGTTTATTCGATTGATCCAAATATAAATTCAGCATTACACTGGGTCAGTTTTCATTTGCCGAATACGATAATCTTAAAGCACTGAGACAATGCGCACAAGCTGAATGTGTGGCACTGAACCCTTAGTGCGCACAATGTGCTCTGCCGAATTCGTTATAAGATAAATCTTCTCGAAAAATTGGGACACGCGAAGGGAACAGTAAAAATACTCTTTAATTTTTGATATATGGCTTCATCATCCGGCTCCATTTCTATCATGCGATTTTGTGTATAAGTGAACGGGAGCGGTTATAATCGCGAATTGTATGAAACGGCAATAGTCAGGAAGCTACGTCCAAAAATTGCCAAATCTATTTCACCGTCTTTGGCATCGGCCATTCATTTATTGCTTTGACTTTGTCAGGTCGGTTCTTACGTCTATTTTAATCTGTTTATACAAATCTGTCGATATTTATCCGGATTGATTTTAAGATTGGCGTCTCGGAACTGTCGGAAAATTTCCCGGAGCATATCTAAATGTTCTTCGAACGTATGATTTAGATAACAAATAATAATAGAAACAAATTCCCAAAAATTGCAAATGCAAATAAATAAACGAAGACAATGGACTAATAGGAATTGGCGCTGTAGTAATTGCGCTATTATTTCATAAATCTAATATTACAATTATATATAAGGTGTAGTAAAAGGAAATCCATTATTTTTGCATGAAATTGAAGGCTTTATTTAGTATAGTTAGAATGATCCGATTTAAGTCAAATATGCACCGTTTTGTTCGATAACTTGTTGCCATTTTGAAGGTAATTCCATTATGCCTCTCTCATAGAAACCCTCGTCCCTATTAGCAAAAAACTGGGATAGTCAATTTTCACAAGCTTCTTTTTCGCGAATTTTTCATCAGCAAAATTATTCGCCAGACAGGAACAGGTGGTAATCACTTGGAGCCAGGTCCGGACTATAAGGTGGATGCATAAGAATCTCTCAACCAAGGAGCTTCTGCGAGTCATTATCGATGTGTGTGGTCTTACGTTGTCCTGATGGAACATAATTCCTCTCCTATTG